ACTCATTATTGTTTGAGCAGGTTGATGGTGTACTTGATTCCGGTTTTGTTCGATTTGATTTTCTCCACCTCATTGGCAGGTCGATGTTATTCATTGTTATTGAGTAGGTTGATGGTTTTTGATTGGTTTGGTCTTGTCGAAATTATTTTTCAACCTCGGTGGCAGGTCGAGGATATTCATAACTGCTCGAGCAGGTTTATTACATTTTATTTGATTATGGTTGTTTCGAATTGATTTTTCGACTTCAAGGGCAGGTAGATGGGATTCATTACGGCACGAGCAGGTTGATGGTTTTTGCTTGGTCTGGTCCTGTCGAAATTATTTTTCAACCTCGGTGGCAGGTCGAGGATATTAATAACTACTCGAGCAGGTCGAGGGAGTTCATTCAGAGCAGTTCACGAAGTCATGTCGTTCGGGTTTTGAGAGGATATACAGCAGGCTTGAATTTTTAATTTTGAACTGGGGGCCTATCATTGAGCGGAGAGAGTTCGAATAAGGTGATTGAAAAAGTAGAAGATTTAAGTTCAAATTTTCAAATTCAAGACTTTGGGAGATAGGGCATATGGTTTTCGACTTCAGTCTCGGTTTTCAGTTTTAGACCTCAGCAGTTTCTCGATTCTCGACTCTTGACCTCATCGGCAGTTACTTGGTTTTCGACCTCAGTGGTTTCTCGATTTTTAGTGTTCGACCTCAGCGGTCTCTCGATTCTCGGCTTTCGACCTCATCGGTGATTCTTAGTGTTCGACCTCAGCGGTCTCTCGATTCTCGGCTTTCGACCTCATCGGCGATTACTCGATTTTCGATCTCAGCGGTCTCTCGATTCTCGGTTTTCGACCTCAGTGGTCTCTCGGTTCTTGGTTTTCAACCTCAGCTGTCATTCGATTCTTGGCTTCAATTTTCGACCTCAGTTGTCATTCGACTTTTGGCTTCGGTTTTCTGACCTCTGTTGAAGGTCCTTCAATTATTTATCGCAGTGGATGGTCATTCGATTTTTGACCCATTACGGTCTCCCGGTGCTCATTGGGGAGTTTTATGATTATTCGGTGATCGGGAACTTCTTCAAATTATAACCTCAGTGGTAGGTTGACGAAAGCGGCTCGAAAAGACATTTTACTCTTGGATCGAGTTATGCTTACTCGACCAGAGTGGGGGGACTAGATGATATAGGATACTATAATAGACCGGGTTACTGGATAAAACGAATACATATTGGAAGACAAGTCCACGTATGGACGAAGACATATAGCATAACGATATGGGTCAAGCCCAACTTGAGCCCAAAAGGTACACTCCCCCTGTAAAAGGGGGGCTAAGGTATCTCATTCTCTCATCCTCTATTCATTCATTACTACATTCTCTCTCTCATTTACGAGCACTGACTTAGGCATCGGAGGCCCAACATCGGGACCCTTCCCGGCGTTGGGTCTGCAGATACGGAGGCTGTTCGAGTTAAAGGAGCCCGAGTGAAATTCATTACACTCTGTATCAAAGTGTATATTCAAACACCACCAATACATCCTCCAACCATGGCAGTTCATGTTATAAATAGATGCTTGTTGTTGATAACATGTTACAAAGAGATTCCATCTATTTGAGTAAGTATTGTACAAGCTCTCTAACCATTCTAGGTTAGACATAAGTCTAACTTACTAACCATTCTATATTTATAGTCACGTCCACGAGTGAATAACATATATTATTTTAAGCCCACGTTGAAAAATCACATCTGAAACAACGATGACACTTGAATCCAACAACTTTCTTGTCAATGACAAAACGTAGCAGGCAATTCACGATGAGGTTCAATGCTTTTTTTTTTTTTTTTTTATTGTTTATACTTGAGACAGTTGGGGGTGGTGTAGAAAAACCATGTCAAACAATATTAGAACACTTCACGTTTAATTATTTAAGGTAAATTGGCGACCGCTACCTTATTCTACGTTAAAGATACCCTTCAAGCTTATTCTTATTTATATGTCCACATCAATTACACCAAACTTTGAAAATACATTGCCATAATTGTTTCAATCTAACCAGAGGATACAACACTTTTTAACTATTCATCACTACAGTTTGTTTATGATCAACCTAATAATTGTGGGAAATGCTACGGTCTCGTTACGGTACCATCCCGTCGGGATTGTGGGAAATGTCACGGTCTCATTATGGTACTATCCCGCATCCGGTTGAGATTGTGAGAAATGCCACGGTCTCGTTACGGGTACAATCTCGTCGGGTGTTTTAACCGTTGGATCATTTATCTTATCTAACTACAAGTAGATCCAACGGTTAAAACACTCGACGGGATGATACCGTAACGAGATTGTAGCATTTCCATATAATTGTAATGTTGAAGTTGCTGAGGTTGGCATTATATCATACATGTGGTCTTGACCTATCATGAGTGGAAGAATTATGGACAATTATGAAGAAACATTGTAACAAATATCACCAGCCAACTATCATCACAGTTCGGGAGCTCATGATGATAACAAAAAACATTCTTCATACAAATCCCAATCAGGAAAACCGCAAATCAATATCAGGAAAAAAAAAAAGAAAGGTCTTTTTATATTGTTATATTTTCTTGGTAATAAATAAGTTAATTACAGGTATCAGCCAAAAATATACCCAGCGCGGCCAGGCCGCCGTATGCACACAGACAGACACAGTCCAGTCCACAAACACATTAAAACAATAAAAATAAACTAAACATAAAATAAATGCTAAAAATTCCACCTGGGAGACGTGTGGGCGGCAGCGCTGGGCCGCTGCCTGTTGTTGTGCACCTGCACCTGCTCCGCCGCATTGTTCCGCTTCTTCATGATGGACGACACGGTGGGGCTGAAGTAAACATTGCTCCTCCCCCCGGAGGCCGCCGCCCCCTGCGAGTACACCTTCCTCCCCCCACCGAAATTCCGGCGCCTCTCCACCTCCATCCCGCGCCCCACGAAGGCCGTCCTCGGGCCCCACCTGCCCCCATAGTAGTTCACACAGCTCTGGCTCCTCCCCACCGCCCGCTCACCCTCCCCCCTGGGGCTCGGGATGTTCCGGCTCTCGGCAGTCTCGGCCGAGTACATGGTCGTCGCCTCCCCATCGCTGCTGCTGCTGCACTCGTGCGGCGGCGGCGGCCCATCGTCCTCGCCGGCCGACCCGACCCCATCGGCGGAACCCGTCGACTCGGCGTCCAGCATGGGCCCAACCCGCAGCAGCAAATCCCTCACGTAGTTTTGGTCACCCCCAGGCCGCGCCGTTTTCCTAAGGGAAGCCCGTGCAACCCTCGGCGGGAAAT